TCCCACCGAGCTTCAAACAATCAATTCCCTCCACCTCGAATTGATTTACCAGACTCTGATTCATCTTCAACGATTTATTCATTCCTTAAGGAATCCGATAAATCTGTTGACTCTGGTTCCAGCTTATCCAGCTCACAATCTTCATTGTCTGAACACTCTGCATCTTCTGCATCTTCAGCTGCATCATACAATGCACAAAGAGAATTGCAATTGCAAAGAATTAGGCAAATGATTGCTGAATTGCCTCCACCATTTGAAGCCATTAATGCACCTAATTCACCAGAACCATTAGTTCTCTCACCCCCTGGAAGCGAAAGATTCTCATCAACCGCCGAATCATATTCAACTTCATCCTCCAATTCATATCATCTCTATACCGGACCTGATTATTAAAAAGTTAAAGAACCAACCAGGAACCAGGAATTCAAAACACAACCTTAACCCAGTCAAAAGAAGACTTCATGGTCTTAATTCCTGGGCAGTGTTGGGTAGAGAAATTGGTCTTCTTTCAACTGTTCAAGAAATTGTTTTTCATTGATTTTCATTCATAATTAGCTCTTAAAAGCTTTTCATTCCTATCAGAATTTCAAATTGTTTTACCTTCAAATTCATTTCAGTTCCTACTTAACCTTAATTATTGTATTCGTATTGCTTTAGCAATCTTTCTTACTGTTCATTCATGCTTCTTCATTTGTTTACTTTGCAAGACACACTTCATGCATATTTCAGTTGAGCTCTTATAAGCTTTTAATTCCTAAAATCTGACCACAACGTGGTTAAGAAATATGGTCAAGAAAGAGTGAAATTTTAGACTCAAAATTAGTGCACTAAAAGAAAGAGTTGTTAAATTGTCTTTCTTTCTTGAGCTTTCAAAAGCTAATCCTTTTGCCTTAACAAAGGCTGAAGTTACCAATAAGGGTAAAAAGTTGTCTCATGACAATACTGATAAGGATATCATAGACACCAAAAAGTGGCGTCATAACCTTAACAGTATTAAAAATTGGTTTTGCACAAAACCCAAAAAGCGACAAATGAAGACAGTAATTTTTTAATCCTTTCTAGATTTTCCCACCAATTTAATTTCTTTGTTTTTCATTTTGCATAAAAACCAGATATCTTTAGATATTTCCTTTAACTGTTACTCTTTGCTCTTAGCAATTCAGTTCACCTTAAAATTTCATTAAAGTTAATTTTAACCCTACTCTCAAGTAACTCAATTCCTTCCAATTCCAACTGAAACCTCAAGTTAAGTTAATAACTCAGAAAGAGTTCAAAATTGTGTTTTACTTGTGACTTAAATATACAATCTTACGTCTTCGCGACTCAAGGGTTTTAGCCCCGAATAATTGTATATCATAGCTTTAGCTATATCAACTATCTCTCTGAGATCTAAACTTGTTGTGTAAGTGCCGTACCAGAATTGGTGTAAGACTTGGATGAGAATCCATGATGCGACCTCAAGACTTGTAGTGAAAGCAAGTTGTGCAATCTTCTAAGTTAGGCCTCTTACCGATTGTAAATCCCTTTCAAATTGTAACTCAATTGGGTTTAGAGTTTCATTTGTTGAAAAAATAATTGCTATTCATCATTAATCATCTCAACAAGTGATGACAGAAAATTATGAAAATCACACAAATCGTTTCACAAAATTTCCAATGTTTGCTAAACTACTGTCGAAGAGCTTTAAATAATTGTCTTACTTTTCAGGAAATTGAAGAAAATTGAAAAGTGAATCGAAAATTTTGTCCAAGAAAATAAACTTATAAAATGAAATTCCATTCTGAAATAATTTCAAGATCATCTGTTGATCGAAGTTCAAATGATAAAATTATAAAATTATAAACTCGAAAGGAAGGTTAAATGTTCTTTCATCAAATTGATTAGCACTTTTTGACTCTTCAATTTCCTACCAACATTCATTAATGTTATCAAAAACAGTCTTTACTCATCATTTACCTGAAACCTTTACTTTGATGTATTTCAATAATTATCATGAAACTGGTTCACACTTTACAAGTTGATTGGATGAAGCAAAAGGAAAAAAATTTCTCTAATTAACATTCCGAAATTGGAATAATTTTCTTGAGTGGAAATTTGTTGAATTTTCATTCCAATTGACAAGATTAAGTTTCTATTCTAAATGGTTTTCTTTCTCTTGGTTCATATTTACTGATCAATGAACAATAATGTAATTTCACATTTTTTGCTGATAAATTTGTGTTCCCTTTTCAGATGCACACAAAAACCTATCAATCAAATGTCAACAAGAGTCTTACTCAGAGTATTATCATGTAAGCAAAGAGTTTAAAAGTGTTCCAAATGAAGACAATAAAAAGGAAAGGGGAAAGAGTGAAAAGACTGGGAGGGAATGTTATTCAGAAGAAGATGTTATCTTCCAACAAGTTTTGAAGAAAAATTTCCACCAACTATTCCTTCGTTATTAAAACGGTATTATTAACGATTCCAACGACAAACGAGAGCAACTTAATCATCTATAAAATGTTCATGGATCTCATGGAAAGATAAAATGAAAACCATTATGAATTGAGAAGTGAAAAAATGGAGAAAAGTCTTTTTTCTCTTCTCTTTTTCATGGTCAATTGGTTATTATTCCTAAGCTTTGAAACTTTTTTTCTTCTTCTTCTCACAGATAGCTTGAGCAAAGTAACATTTTCTTGCTCATATAATTGTTGTTTCATCAAAGGTTTGCAGCAAATTCTGGCGTCCACTGAAAAGTTGAAAATGATGATTATCCCTGGAATCATGATCACGATCATATTTTTTATCATTATTAGCAGAGGAAAGGTTATCATGGAAAAGCTGGTGAAAAATAAGGCTAGAAAAAAGTCCATTATTAGGAGCAAATATTCTGTACATTATGTTACTTTATTTCACCATTTGATTCTTTTGTCAATTTTATGTTGGTTTGCTTCACTCCCAGTAGCTACTCCCAGTTGAAATGTTATTATACTTGTAAGATGACAGGAATCAAGGTTAACAAAGAGTTAAATTCATGCATCCAATAGGTATTGGTCAGGTTTAAATGTGATTCATTTTTGACCAGTTTTCTCATGAGACTGGCCAAGATAAACCTTTCAATTTGTGACACTTTTAAAGTAACCAATTTGGTTATAAAGTGTTTGGACAATCTTTGATCATGAACCATTTGCACTAACAACAATCATTTGGCAGCAAATAAATTGATCAAAGGTAAAAGATACAGTTTCAGGGTTAATAGAAAATTCAGATTGAGAAAAAATACAAAATAACAGCTAATGACTAGAATGAATAAACATGAATTGATAGTTATTTTTCAATGAAAAGATGACACTTATTGACATTAGGATAATGAATTAATGATAAATGTACAAAGAGTGACAAGTGAATCGAAATTGAATTTTTCTCAATCGAATCAGTTTTTCTGGTCTCATCTCTCTGGTCTGTCTCTGGTTTAATCAATCTCTTTGAATCAATTTGAATGCCGGTATCATTACATGAAATCAATATTCATGATTCTTCATTTTTATGTCAATATAATTGTCCAAACCTAAAGTTAATCTACAATTACACAGGTTTAGGTTAAAGTGTTTACTGTTGACCCTCAACCTGGTTTCGAACCCGTATCTTTCATCTTTAAAGGTCAACATCGGTTGTTAAGGATAATTAGACTCATTTGGTTATTTAAAGTTGATTTTGTTTCACTCCAGACTTTGGAGTAAATTTTTAATCAATTTTATCGAAATGCTTTTTTTGCTTCTTCTGTTTTAGGATTACAATTGGGTTAGTTTGTTGCTCATTTGGAGATAATTTGATGCGAATAAAATGGGCAATGTTGATGGTGATGGTGATTGATGATCAGTGATTTAAATTATATAATGGGATTAGATGATTAGGTCAGCAATTGGGTAAAGATGTGTCAACATTTCTTAATGCCCAATCAATAAGGATGTAAAATGGTGCGTACAAAGTGAAACTGTACATTATTTTTCAAGATGCATTTGTCACTCTTGAAATCATTAGCTCTCAGCGTGTCTGTCTTTGTGTGATCATTGATCATCAAATAATCAAGTAAAAAGCGTAAATCACATTCACATTTTTTTCTTCTTCTTCTTCTTGTCAACATTTCTTTCACCAAATCAAAGCTGATTGTCAAAAACACTTCTAATCATTTACTTTGCGCAAACCTTTCCTTTCATTCACTTTTAATGTTCCTGGTGATCGTCGATGGCCATCATTATCTCAATTGACTATCATCAACCTTTCAATAATGTATTACTTACAGTATGGTTTGATTGTTTTTCATGATAACCTGGAAGCAAATAGAAATGATGATAAAAAAGAGAGAAGAGAGAGAAAAGTAAAGAAATCAAATTATCTCGATATTTCTGTACAAATAGCCTTTAGTCTGTAGGTTGACTTGATTACATTATGACAATTACTTTTGTCATTATTGTTGTTATCATTCACTCAAAGCCAAATTAATTAGCAAACCATTAAGGGTTTGTTTGTGATGGATTAAGGTTTAATCTGTTTCTAGCCTGAAAACCTCAACGTATTTCACCCTAATCATAATTGCAACAATAAAAGTTAATGTAAATAAAAATGTTGCTTATTTTGTGTACAAAGAGTTGCTCCGTTAAGATTGATTCATCGAAAGAGAATCGATCATCGGAAATTGAAAATTTATCGACATCAAAACAAATCGATATCAATTTGTCGTCTTCTCGAAATTTGAAATTATTATGTTAATGATTTAGCTTTTATCTTGGTTTTTTATCTAAAAATAGAATGATTTTCAGCGACTTTTCACCGAGAAAAAAGTCAAGGAAATCATTGATATCATTCATTGATGAATCGATATTCTATTTAATTGAATATCGCCAATCTCTTATGTAAGCTCACATTTAGTCTTCTGTTCAATCACGTGGTAAATTGTAGCTTTTGATTGTTGAATTTCAATCTTCTAATCTTTTTTTGTTCTTTCTTCATGTCTTCTGCAGGTATCTGAGACCAATCTGGTGATGTTTGTCCTTTTCTTATCAACTTTAGTGATGACCACAGGAGCTGCGGCCTTCTCCAAATGGGAAAGATGGAGCTATTTTGATGCATTTTATTATTGTTTTATAACATTAACCACAATCGGTTTCGGTGATTATGTGGCTCTTCAAAAAGAATCAGCTCTCCAAAGCAAACCTGAATATGTCATTTTTAGCCTTGTCTTTATCTTATTTGGCCTTTCCGTTGTTTCTGGAGGTATCAATTTGCTTGTATTGCGATTTTTAACTCTCAATACGGAAGATGAAAGACGTGATGAAGCTGAAGCAGCTTTAACTGCAGCCGGTGCAGTCCATCTAGAGGGTGACGTTATCACAGCCAATGGAAGCATAATCTCGGGTCAAGGTCCAGACATGGTGACACCTGATTCGGATGATGTTCAATCTGTTTGTTCGTGCACTTGTTACAATAATCCAAGGTACAGTCGATCTAGATCTTGGAGAAAATCTTCGCCACCTAAATACTCTTTCAATGGTCACCGTGGGTCCAATGAGGTTGAATCAACTGGGTACAATGGGTCGAATCGGTCAAGAGTGCGGCACAGGGAAGGTGCATCACGTTTCTTACCTTTAGCAATGTTTCGCTCCATTTCTGGATCATCAGATACTCCTGACCCCGAGTCCATCATTGGATTAGACGGTAAAGTGCCACCACACATGTTTATAAATGCAACTGATTTTGATTTAGAAAGCTATGAAAATTACAAGAAACGTGCCAGTATTTGAAAGCAAGTAAGCTACGATTTGTAAAAGGCTAAAGACAACAAACAAGATAATCAGCAATTACACCGATTATGGCCAGGTTGACGGATATCGTGCTTTATTTGGTAACCAATGGGACCTGAAATTGTACTCGCACTCAAACCTTTGCTTTGTATCAACCAAGATTGTTTTGTCTCGAGTGAATCAAGAATCAAATGAAACAGATCAAGTTGAACTGTTTTATTCAGGGTGAAATCTTGAGGAACGTGAAATACATTTTATTATAAACAAATCAGTTGAATCACAAGCTACTGACAAAATTGTTGAAATCAGTGATGAGCTTGTCTGGTTATTGAACAAACTAAACATTGAAAATTGGTTTGTTTCCAACATTCTGTTGATGTCAAGAAAATTGAGAAAACTCTAGACATAAGATTGAATTTTCACTTAATTTTACTGAACTCAATCGACCAACTTTTCCATTTTTCAAAACATTACAGTAAATTGGCAAGCTCAAGTCTTTAAATCAGTCAAATTAGCATCTCAAGTAGTGAAGAGGATTCTCTATGCTATTAGAAACACTAAGTGTTGGAATGGCGATATTGATTTTTTCTAGTTTAATTTATAATAAAATGCATTTTATAATTTTTTAAGAAAACTCGACTCTGAATAAAACAGCTTAATCTATTTAATTTAATCCTCTCAGATTCCCTCGAAATAAAACAATATTCATTGATACTAAAGCCTGGGTTCATCCCAAGTAAAATGACTTTAATAGGATTAAATTATTCCAAGTCTATTCCAACGAACAATGTTTCCACTGATAGAGCTGTTATGTTATTGTTAGACCAGTTGAGCTATTAAATAATGAAAATCCTTTTCATATTCATCATCGCCATCTTCATCAACATCGTCATCATTATCACCACAACCACCAAACACCATTAACATAATTTTAAATTGTGGTTTCATTATCGGAAACTGTTTGCTAGATAATTTTAACCAATTTCATCTCTCTTTTTTGCTCCGACTTCAACTCTTTTATAATTCTTCATTCATCTGTAAAGCTTAACCATCATCAGTTAAATCACAGTTGACAACATTATACAAACTGACATTTGTTATTACATTGGGATACTCATCTTTTTGATTACATTAAATAATAAAGACTAAAATTAAACACACAATTCAAATGGAAATGCAGCAATTTGACTTCAAGCCTTACCTTTTTGATAACATTTTTTTCTCGCTATTTATCATTACAACTCACAAAATCATAAGGTAACCAAATAGTGGTTGCCAAATGTAAATTAACTTGAATTCATTTCTCACTCAGTCATACGAATCATGATTATTTAATGTTAATTTGTCTGTTGAAATTGTTGAGCAACAGGAGGAGGAAAGAGAGGTTGCTAAAAAAGAGGCGAGGAAATGAAACAAATTTCATGTTATCCAATAAAGTAAATCAAATATTTGGACAATCAAATTAATGATGAGATTGATAACAGTTATGGAAGTCAGTTTGATCAAGTGATGTTTCTCGGATGAAATCATTACATTGAATCAAACAAGAAGAGCTTAAAAGGCAGTCTCGGGATGAAAATATTGTCTCATCATCATCAATAATCAACAAGATACAGATTACTGTAATAAATCTTGTTTTTCATTTGTTTCCATTTGTAACTTTATTTTTATTTTTTCTGGTAATATCTTCATCTTCAAACTCTTCAGTTTTTCTTGCCACTTGACTACATTGGAATGATGATGATCATGAAGCTTTCCTGATTCTCTCTCATGAGACTACAGAACATGTTCCTTTTTTTCGCAAAGAAATTAATGTTTTTTTCTCTTCATTCAGATTCTGAATCATTACTAGGTTTTTTCAAAGGTTACATTAAATTTTAAAATCAAATTGAATAACATTTACATTTCATTTAGGACTGGTTATTTGTAAAGTAAAGTTAATAGAGTTTAGTAGTTTACCAGTAAATGTTTAACAGTTAAGGACATTGGAACCTTTTTTTCATGTAACACAAATTAATAGCAACAGTAAACATTTACTAGCCATTATCGACTTGTCTTTTAATTAGACTGATAATTGTACAATCATATTATTTTTGGGATTCATGTGTCGATGTTAATCTTTTAATTCTTTAATTACAAACTCATTAGTTTGTTGTTGTGTGTAAAAAAAGCATAAAAAAAGTTTGGATAAACATGATAAAATTAGGGATAAAATATCTATAGTATAAAATAAACAACAATCTGGTTCAATAAAATTTTTTCATCAATTTGGTATACAATAGTTCATCTGAACAATTGTATGTTGACTTTGTTTGGTCGGCTATGCGTTTAAACGCGTTTAAAAATGTGATAATTGTGATCTCTTGAATTGAGATTAAGTTCACAGTTTAGAGGTTAATGTAGGTTTGCCCAGCATTTCGGGAAATCCGTGTCTGTAGATGGCCACTATTCCAGCTCCACCGAGACCAATGTTGTGTTGAAGGGCAACTTTAGCACCGGGAACTTGACGTGCACCAGCTTCACCTCTAACCTGCCAACACAACTCGGAGCATTGAGCTAACCCGGTGGCTCCAAGTGGATGGCCTTTAGAGAGTAGTCCACCACTTGGATTGACTACATATTTACCACCATAAGTATTGTCACCGGCATCAATGAAGGCTCCAGCTCCACCGACAGGACAAAGGCCGAGTGCTTCGTAGGTAATCAACTCGTTGGCTGAGAAACAATCGTGAAGTTCAATCACTTGGACATCGGTTGGCTTTAATCCTGCTTTGGTATATGCTTTTTCTGCAGCAATTTTGCTCATATCAAAACCAACTAATTTAATTGCTGACTTTTCGGTAAAAGTTGAATTAACGTCAGATGCCATTTCCATGGCAACAATTTCAACTGCATTTTTCTCGAGTCCATGTGATTTTACAAACTCTTCAGAAGCTAAAATAGCTGCAGCAGCACCATCTGAGGTTGGACAACATTGAAGTCGGGTAAGATATTCAAATACCTGAAATGGAAAGAAAAGAAATTAAAAAAGTGAAATTGATTGCTATTTACCAAAATTACAGAGTTTTCGTAAACCAGTTTGTCAGGTTTTCGTTTAATGAATAACCAGGCATTTCAACTCTCACTGAGCAAGTTTTAAAATAATTATTCATCTATTGATTCAATAATGGACTGAGATAAATATGTTAAGGCTTAAGAAGTGGATATTGAGATGCAATCCATTTTCTGAATGTTCAAGATGGAAAGGAAGATGAGAAAGTATCCGTTCGGAAACGGAAACTGTCATGAACAAGATTGAATATAAATGTAGATATTCATATACAGCAATCTATTAACTCGTGTTGCATGTGAACAATGAAAATGTATTCAAGATGATGATCTTGATGAGGATAATGATGAAAATGTATCGAGTGTAAACATCCTTTTGTTGCCATTAACTAATTATTGAATGGATTGTATTAAAGCAAGAAAGATTTCTGCTGAACCAAGAAAGAAATGGAAAGAAAGAGATAAAAGGATGATGATGACGAGAAGGAGGATAAAGAGGAAGGAATGGACATATTACATATAATATATATAACTGAGTTTATTTTACCAGGCAAAAGCAATTAACTTAAATGATTAGACAACTGAGAATTGAACTGTTCCACTCCTTCCATTTTGAAAAGGCCTCGATATTCAACTTGATTTTTGTGAGTCAAGTTTTATAATAGATATACGGTTGCTTGGTTCATCGAATGGAATCTCTTTTTCTCAACTGAACTTATACTCAATGAACAGTCAAATAATTGGCATGATGATCCAAGGTCGGTTGATTATATTTCTATAACAATAAAAAGACAATTAGAACAACGTTTTATATATATTTCAAGAGGAAAAAGGTTGATTCTTAAAAACTAACAATAGACAATCTATTTGTGATCGTCATGTTTCTGATTAAATGCAATCCAATTAATCAAGAATTGAATTAATTAAGGATTGCAGTTGACTGGAAGATGGTTAAAAGGTTTGCTGGATTTAAAGTTGATCTCAAAAAAAGAGACATTTGTTTGTGGATAAAGTCTGTTGAACTCTTTACTTATGATCTTTTCACATTTCTTTGCTTCTTCTTCATGTTTATAATACATGATTTAATGATTGCAATCAATTAATCATTAAATTGGTAAATGGGTTTATGTATCACATAAACAAGTCAATCCTTTGCCATCTGACAGATCACTTTTGATATAATCAAATCTTCATTTTAATTAAAACTCAGCTAAATCATCTTCTATTTTTTTTCCTCTCTGCTGTTGTTCAGTTTACCAACAAGCTTGAGGCAAATTTTGACTCTATCAGAGTTTGAAAATAGATTGAAGATTAAATAGCAATTAATATGGGAGAAACAAGACTCGTCTTCTTCATGTTCATGTTGAACTGTTGTTCAGCTGAGTAAATATATTGATAAGATGAGAGATGATGAAGAAAGGTTGATTGCATTAACATGCTAAAAATGTGTTAGATTGTCAGATATTGGTGCAGAAATGAGTCAAATATCAATTGTTGTAATCATTGATCAGTGATTATCTTCATGTTATTTTTTTGGATGACGAGGTGAAATGAGATAAAAATGTTGCAAAGGTTAATCATAAGTACTATCAAAAATTCATGCATCATGAATCTGGTGAGCATCATCTTCAACAGAAGAAGAAGAAAAAACCTTGGCAACCAAACAATGTATTGTGAGATGTTGATTATTTTCATCATTTTACGAAAATAAAATACTCTTCAACTTGCAATATAATCAATTCCTATCCATCTGGAGGTCAATGGTCACTTGATGTGTATTGATTAAAGAACAAGACTAAATAACTTCTAATGGTCAACTGTTTATCTAATGAAACTTTGAGAAGTCATGAAGAGGAAAGAGACTGAGAGAGGAGAGATTCAACATTTAAGTAACAAAGTACAAAATTAACCTAAAACTTGATCATTAACAGATCAGTAAGTTCAGCCATCGAGAAGAGAAAAATATATCAACATGAAGCTAAAAGTAAATATTGCAAGTAAAATACATGCTAGAGATATTACAAAACAGTGAGAGTTGATTAAATGAGCAAATATGGAAGAGGAAACACAAAACTCTATTAAACCACTCTCTATTAATATTTATCATATTACCTTGGGTCCATTCAATATTTCATCCATACTGTATTCAGTTTGAAATTGAGCAAATGGATTATTAACTGAATGTTTATGGTTTTTGTAAGCAATTTTAGCGAAATGCTCTTCTTTGGTTCCATATTTTTGCATATGCTCTTTACCAGCAGATCCAAAAAGTTGAGCAGTTATTGGAGCCGGTGAAAGGCCAAAAAGTTCATAATAAAGGTTGATATGGTCTTGCATTGGGGTGACACGATCTTTAAATTTGGTTGTTAAACTTCCTTTCTCCATCTTCTCAAAGCCCAAAGCGAGACCACAATTGACTATTCCACCTTCGATTAAACATTTGGTTAGATAGAGTGCAGACGATCCGGTGGCACAGTTGTTATTCACATTAACAATGGGAATACCGGTTGTTCCAAGTGGGTAAAGGGCTTTCTGTCCACAACAGGAATCACCAAAAACATAGCCAACGGATGCATGTTCAAGCGCTTTATATTCAATGGAAGCATCAGCTAAAGCATTACGTACTGCTTCACCAGCTAAATCAGGATAATCCACTTGCTTGTTGACACCTGATTTGGTAAATTTGGTCATACCAACACCGACAACGTAAACTTTTCGTCCCATGATGAGTTAATTAGTTGACTACCAGTTGTCTCTTCATACAAGCTTTAATTTCCTTTTGTTATTATTGATTTTTGGCTAAATCCTTCAGGGAAACACCATCAAAAGTAATCCTCAGTATGGCACCACAAAAAAGAGTAACATATAAATGTTGAATGTTAACGATGGCTGGTGAAAGAAAGAAATGAAAAAAGTAAAATGGTGATGAGAAGGAGGAGAAGACTCAAGTTTAAAAATATGTAAGGTAAAAATTGATTGTCGAACCTTTCTTTTCTTGAATGGAAACAAGAAAATAAAATGGGACAGAAGAGAAAGAAGAGAAAGAGAGAGAGAGAGAGAGAGAGAGAAAGAAACGAAACAAGACAATGAGATGGTTAACGGGCAACAATTTGATTGGTGATTGAAGTGGAAAATGTTCTCACAGTTGATTTAGAATAAACATTTCTTCTTGTTCTTCTTGTTTTTTGACAATTACTTTACTTTTTAAGCCCTCTCTACTTCTCTCTTTTGATTTGCTATTTGAGGTTAGCCCTGCACTATTAACTGTTGAAATGATTTGAACAACATTTTGGCTTGATTAAATCTTGTCCCTCAATCATTCAGTCCACATTATACACTTAACAAAACAAGTTCTTACCTTCCCCTCAATTCAACTCTACTACTTTTAGTCACTTTTCCTTATTTTCGACTTTTTCAACTTCTCAAAACTTCTTTTTTCCTCTTTCCTCTCTCAATATTATCATCTTCATTCTCTTTTCTCTCTTTCTTATTCTCTCTCTCCCTCTCTCTCTAAATGAAGCTCTCCATATTTTATATCTGTCTTCATTTAAAATATTTTTTCCTCTTTTCTATCTCAAATAATTTCTCGATTTTTCCCTGACTTGCAATCCAACACCTAACTGTCTTTTTAACATCACCATGGTTTTTGATGTGTGATCTTAAACATCTAATTTTTTGACTGCTTAATGATATGAAACAAATAAAGTCGAAGCCGGATTTTTCATTAAATGTTAGTCAACTATCATGCATAGAAAATATCAATAGACTTACCGTTATAGTTTTAGTAATCAAATAGAAACTTCAGTAATGACCAATAATAATCACAGGAAAACATTGATAATTGTTGATGGTCGTTCAATTTTCCCATTTAATTCTAACATAACAAGTTGTAAAGTAAACAAACGTCTATTTTCACATCTAAATGTGTGAAAATAAAGCTTACGACTTATAAAATAGTTTATTTAATGCTCAATAGCTGGTGCTATGTACTTGATTCAATCAAGACTATCGACGAATTGGCAGATTTTTATTGAATTAAATTAAATTAGAATCAGCTTCTGTATTGTAATATTGAAAACTCTGTGTCAACAATTCCACCAAACAATTAAATCATTCATTTTTTTGTGATTGGAGTTGTTGGATGCTCGAGTCAAAAAATCAAAAAATGAAAATTTTTCATAATACATCTCGTGATCTCCAATTCATAACTGGTTAGATCCTCTGAAAGAAATTTTTAAATCATTAGGTACTTCAGAATTCTGTGAAAACTCTCCTGAATCAGACTTTTCGTCTTCTGACAAAAGCCGAAATTAAATCCAAAAATTGGAATGGCAAAGGTAAACTGGAACAATTTCATCTCACTAATACAGCCAAAGCAGCCAATCTAAACAATCCATCGGAGCTACCCAATAATTTGAAAGCCAATTTTAATCGTTTGAACTTCTCACTACCAATTAATATTTTCAATTTTTTTTGTAAAACTTGGACTATTCAGAAAAACTTGAAACCAAAATTTCCAAATTTTTCTCTCTTCACTTCCTTGTCATTTAAGTTTTTTTAATGTATCTGAGTGTATCTATTTGGATTTGCTTTTTATATCGAGTATTTACATCGGTATATCTGTAACTTAAATCCTGTAATAAGATCATCTTATTAAGATGCAAGAAAACTTCCATCAAGATGAAAAGTTCAATGATATAAACAAAGATAACAAGGTTAGCTATCTAATCAAGATGTTTAACTTGTCAAGCTTATTGAAACCCGATAAAGGTTTTGGTGAAAGAAATTGACTTTTGAGTAACATTTTCTTTATCTTGCGGATACAGCTGATCGTTGTTCTTTTTATTAAATCATTATTTTAATTTTATAATTACAGATCGTCTGACTGATTATCTTCTAATGGAACTTGGGACAGACGCGTGGGCCTTCTCTGTTCATTCGAACTGGTCAAGTATGTAAAAGACAAAATGGTAAACAAGGATAAACCAAGCACCGTTATAATCGCAAGATATGCGTTGGTAAAAATCCGATCAATCTGAGGTAAGCCCATCCAGTTACAAATTGAGTGGACTACAATTACGGAAGCCAAACACTGACATCGCAAATAAATGGCACAATTATAACATCCAAAGAGAAAGGTTTGTAAAAGATGGAAAACAATAGTAATCCATGGTAATTTCGCGCCACCCAGCACCAGTTTTATGAAGTCACCAGGAAAATGGCTTAAGCTAAAAAGAACTGAAGATATAAAGACTGTTAAATGTTCATCACCACATGGAGTCAATACTAATGTCATGAGAAACCGGTAAACATATTCTTCACCAGCAGGACCAAAGACATTTATGCGAAGAAAGGTGTAAAATGGAGATGAATCAGATGCTTGTACGTCCCAAAGATCACCGGCCATGTATCTGTCAATGATGGGTCCGCTAAATAAGATGATTATCAGTCCAATGGGAATTAAATCCAGATAAAAAGATGGGATGAGTACTTTAGGTGTAACATGGCCAGTCATTAATAAGATGGAAAGTGAGAAAATGATTGCAGTTCCAATGCCAATCGCTTGTAAATAAACTGATTCTCTGGTTGCATCGTGATTTGGTGTGGAAATACGAATGGATCCCATGTAAATCACTGCAATTACGGAACAAATGAGACATGGTAAGACGTACTTATTTACAGGGACCATATTAAAATAGGGAATCACAATCGAAAAAAGTTAACTTAATTTGTCAAACAGTCAAATGATTTTACTGATGTCCAAGGTGAATGTGCTGATCCCGAGGGCGACACTGGTTTATATCAATACTGTCAAAAAAATTAGTTAATCAAGCTTTCAAACGTTATTTATTTACTGGCTGTCGTGTAAGCTTGAATTGGCAATCAAATCTTTACAATCTAACGATTAATTTTTAAATCTTATTGTTAAATCCTTGTTACCCAATAGGCAAAGGGACAACTCAACAACTGTTGTTATTGTTTTGAATTTTTTGCCAATTCTTCTAAATTTTAGCTACCAAAGAGTAGCAAGCTTGTTACTCTTTGAATCAAACTCTAAGTTTATCTTATCATGAGGGATCCAAAGAAATACTCGCTCTGAATTGCTACAGTGAATTTTTTAGAGAGATTTATTATTAAACAGGTAAATAGAACTCACAATCTTTATTAGACACTAAATGCACCATTTTTTAAACAATATTGGACGAACAATTTTCATTAGATTAAGTCCAGAACGACTAGCTACTTTTTTCAATTTGAATTCATTCCGAGTATTTCTTGGGGACTCTTTAGTTTATACATTTATCAGTTTACTATTGTAATGAGTTTATTTGAAGCTTGTATTTTGAGCTTTTGACCTTAACGTCGAACGGCAGTGGCATTAATAAAGTCTTTTTTTATTCCGATTTTAGTTGCTGTCTTGCTGTTTTGGTGCATCTATCTGGAAAATGTAACAAAAATTCATGATCGCATGGATAAATTGTATTATTGAAAAGTACTTCAACTGACGAAAAAGGTAAACACGGTTGACAATCACCTGTGCAAACTTACCATAAGATTGAACATAACATCACATAGATTGAAATGGGTTGGGAGAAAATACGATAAATTTGCTTAGCTGTCGATTCTACTTGAACATCTACAATTAAAATTATGAGAAATCAACAGGAAAAATGATCCATTAGTTTCGGAAATATTTACTCAACAGTTGAAGTTAACGTTTAACATAGCATGAGATTGGAATCAGGGTTGTCTGGTTCAGAGGATAATCCAGATATTTATACCATCAGTGAATCGAGAGTCATCTTTAGTCCACCTCTTATGATGTCAACAATAAACAATGAAAAGTTAGTGCCATCATCATATAAATGTTGCTTATTTTTGTTTGTTTTACCCATTGATTATAGTAGTCAATGTCTAACAATAATCATCTAATTTTTTTATCCATCATTCAGTCAAGAATTTACTTGGTACCGAAGAAAGAAACGAGATCTTGAAATCAAATGGATGCTGTTATTAGCCATTTCCATTGCCCTGTCTTTAGTGCTTTCAATAATACTTCTTGGTAACTGCTTGAAATATGGACCAACCGTTTTAAGCAGTAAGCTGACATAGAGGATTCAATACAGCTTTTTAGCTGCTTATTTAAATAATGGTTTTCAATCTCATCTCATTCCAGTATCATCATGGCAATCGGCTTTATTAAGACACATTAAAGGAAGCAAAACCTGGAAAGATGCTGACAGTCAAGCAACTAAGATTGACCAGGTCTGTGTTACTCCAGAATGCTCAAAAAAAGGTAAACTTACAAGTCGTAAATAATTTCCTGGATTAAATTAATGCTTCAACTTCAATTTTTCCTCTTTTCTTCTTCAGCTGAATCAATATTGAAAAGCCTTAATCGCGAGGTTGCACCATGTGATGATTTTTACGAATTTGCTTGTGGTAATTGGATCAAGAAAAATCCATGTCCAGATTTGTATCCTTATGTATCGGTTATTGATACACTTAATTCAAAACCAATAGAACAAATAAAAAGTAAGAAATTTCTTCGCTCACTTTGTTAATTGATTAATAATTGCTCATCAACTAGGTCTTCTTGAGAATGAGTCTGATAGTAATGATGAACTCATTACCAACATTACTCGATCGTATTATAAAATGTGCATGAATGCTGGTAAGTTTACCTGTTTTTTATTTATTTTGTCTCAACTTATTATTTCCTTTTCTAATATTCATAACCTTTATTCATTTTCAGAGGCAATATCTAAAAAATCTAATCAAAGTATTCATAAGATAATTGAACAAATTGGCGATTGGCCCATGGCTACTAATAAACAATGGAATCCTGTGGATTTTGATTGGATGGAGGCAACTGTTAAGTTACGATGGTTAGGAATCAGCAGTGATGCATTCATAAAAATTCAACCTGTTATTGACGTTTTCAATAACACAATCTATCGTATTGGGGTTAGTACGAGATGTTTTTCTTATCCTCACTTATTAAATGAAAATCTAATGATATTTTATATCTTTATATTTAGATAAACGAACCTAAATTAAGTTTAGACAGAAACCAACTGATTGGCAATAGTTCTGTGATCAAGCATTATATAAATTTCATGAAAAAAACAGCCTCTACATACGGTGGTCAAAGGGAAATGATTGAACATGATGTATATGAAGTACTTGAATTTGAACGAGAATTATCTTTGGTTTGTATTCCAATAGACACAATATCGGTTTAAACTAATACAATCATTCTTTAGCTAACAATGCCTGAAGAAGCTGTTCGCGAATCTATCATGTTTTATCGTTCCATGACTGTTGCTGATTTGAGTACATTGGCTCCTTCGGTAAGAAATTCAACCGAGTTTTGTCCTCTTCTGACCACTTTATTCCTATTCTCATCAGATTCCATGGGTTGAATTTCTGTCGGGACTTATTGGTAGAGAAATCAGTGATGATCAATTTTTATTGGTTAAAAATTTCAACGGTTTCATTACTCGGTTAGAGTTGCTGTTGAAGAAAACTGAAGAAAGGTAATAACGGCGTAATATTGGTTTACTTCATTTCATCAATCAGTTTCTACCCTTTTCTTTTATAAACAGAGTTTTGGCCAATTATTTAAGCTGGACTGTGGTTAGAGCTCTTCTTCCATATTTAGGGCCTAAATATGACCAACTGGAGGTTGAATTTTGGGATGCATTATACGATAAACATAGTGAAACACCTCGTTGGGTCAAATGTGTAGATGAAGTCTCAAATTACCTTGGACCTGCTTTACAATCGATGTATGCCAGAGCTTTTTACTCTGAGTCTGTTAAAGAAACAGTAAGGTTACCCAAATGTTTGACATTGACAATTATAATTTAATTTGTTAATCTCTAATCAATAATCTTAACACTCCTTAGGCTACTCGACTTGCAATCAGTATTGAACAAATTTTCAATGAATCACTCAGTCAAAATAAGTGGATGGACAATGATACTAAAATCCGAGCTATGGACAAACTTGACAATTTGAACATGTTTATTGCTTATCCTGACGATTTTCTCAATGCATCATCTGTTTCCAAAATGTTTGAAAAGGTGAGTCGTGATGGTGAATATTTTGATGAACTTGTCAGAATCATCTAAAAGTGTATCATCCTATTAGATGGATTACAATGAAGGATCAAGTTATCTTGAAAATACCCTGAATATGTCTCTTTGGAACATTAATATGCTACTTGAACGAGTTGATCAACCTAATGGAAGGATTGAGTAAGCATTGATTTTGATAATTTAACGACAAAATTATTATAAATATTTCTCTATTACTTGAAACAGTTGGGCAAAAACTCAGAGAATCAGCGATGCTAATGCTTTCTACTCAGCCAGTGACAATGCATTGTTTTTACCGATGGGAATATTAACACCAGAAGTCTTTTCACCCAACTTACCAAGGTAAGAATGGAATTGATTTAATCGGTTGATGATTACTTCTTGGTTGATGTTTCCAGTTACCTTAATTATGGTACAATTGGATATGCTGTTGGACATGAAATGATTCACGGATTTGATAATCTTGGACGTCATTTTGATAAATCTGGCAATCGTAATAACTGGTGGACAAATGAGAGTCAAGTTAGTTTTGATGCCCATTCTTCATGCTTTGTGAATCAATACAGTAAATACCATTTAATCAATGATATCAAAGTAAGCCATTGTTACTTCAATCCAAACCGTAATGTCCGTTTTAATAAGGCTTTGCAAGCTTTCGATGGTACCATGTCTTTAAAACCTTTTTTATATTTCCTATTAAGTTGAATGGTCAACTTTCCCTGGATGAAAATATTGCTGATAATGGCGGTTTACACATTGCTTATCAAGCTTATCAATCAACGCGAAAATATATAGACATTGAATTGAAAATGCCTGGGTTAAATTATACTTCGGATCAACTTTTCTGGATAAGTTATGCTCAGGTTGGATCTTTGTTTAATTTTTCTTGTATTTTAATTTGTTATTTTGTATTTACTTATGTAAATTGATTATTTTACAGCTTTGGTGTGCAAATTACAAAAATTCAACTCTTGAAATAGAAGGTGCCAACAGTAATCATGTTCCTGGAAGATACAGGTGAATATAAGATACTCTACAAAATTATCTGAGCTTATAATTGAATTGTTGTCTTTTCTCACTTTATTTAGAGTAATTGGGTCCCTTTCCAACAATGTAGATTTTTCAAATTCATTTAAATGTCCTATTGGATCGCCGATGAATCCCGAAAAGAAATGTTTCCTGTGGTAAAGAATCAATAGTTTGAATTGCAAAAATAAAATTCTCACGAAAAAATCAATTGAAATATTTCATTTTTAAAGCCCATGTATGATTCAATCTAAATGAACTTTTTACCAAACAAACAAGTAATTTTTTTCAAAATAAAGTGTTGTTATTAATTCCATAGCTAATTAATCAGAGCCAATACAAAATTCTGATCTGTCAAACTATTTGTTATAAACTCCTTAAGCTGATTAATATTTGCTTATAAACCTTAAGTAATAGTGCTTTTTAAATGAGACTCAAGATGGAGCTAAACGAAAGTCACATGGAGTTATTTTTTTGAAAACAAATTTGATTTTTACTGTTGCCTTCAGGTTTGTTTGATAATTAATCAAATCCTTACGAATTCATCAAATGGCTGAACAATTGAACCAATTTCAAAAAACAGAGCTTATGGACAAGCTCAAGCAAGAAATTGCCATGGAAAATTTCAAGGAATTAATAAGGGTAAGCAATTATATTCACTTTTGTAAATTTCTCAATTTGTCAATCTTATTTTTCAGCAAATGTCCGAGAAATGTTACAAAAAATGTGTTAGTAAACCTGGCGCCAAGCTAGATTCAAGTGAAACTGTAAGTTATAATAAATTTCTCAATACTTCACATTTATAACTCTAATTTTTATTATAGAAATGCTTGAATTTTTGTGTGGATAATTATATGGATGCATGGACAAAAATATCTCGTGCATATGGTTCTCGTATACAAAGGGACGCATAAATGAAGATCAGTTATGGAAATGAGCGTTGATCCTATAGAGTTAATTGAGAAACTTAAAATAATAAAAGTCTATTTTAAAGCTTGAAGTGTTTTGAAACGTTGCATGGTTATCGTTCGTAGCAATCAACACAGAATGAGGGTTTGCCAAGACAATGAATCAATTTTTTCCCATTCTTGTCGATGACTCAAATAGTGAAAGGTAAATTTGAAGTTCCTTAATCTTTTTCTTGAGAAAAGATCTATTTCTTGGATTGGTGACATTGAGAGCCTGAAATTAAAAAAAGAGTATGAATAACTATCATAGGAAAAAAGAGAGTTTATTAATAAGGTTTACCTTCAATTGGTTACTTTCAAGTTGAATCAATTCTTTACCAGAGATAGAATGATTTCGGAAATTTTCAACCAGATAATCGAGACCAAATAGAATCAACCATTCAGAAACTTCATCTGGTGACCATTCGGTAACCAATTTACCACTCCAAATACATTGCTTTGTTGAGGAATCACAGGATTTTTCTGGGCTACTAGCATGGGGCTGAGCAAGAGCTTTCAATGAGCGATGAGTTGGGATCTTCTTCATTTCGAAGTGATTTAGTTGATGATTCTTTTGGCCCCAATTGACCGGGTCCAAGCCAATCTGAATCTAGTCTACCAACAGGCTCTGAAAGTGGCCTTGACCTTCCTTGGTTAATCATCTCGGATCTTCTATTAACTCTTCGAGGTGAACTTGAATCACTGTTACCATCCATTGAACCATAAGATGATTGCCTTCTCATACTTGGTGGTTGACGATTGGCTAAACTGCCTTTAGAAGCGAGTTCAGCCTTTTCTTTAGCTGCTCGACTGTCCAATAACTCTGCAGGAGGTAGAATCAACAAATCAGATTCTTCATCAGATTCCTCCAAGCTGATTGATTGTGGTTCATCAGCAAGACTACCTCCGGTGCTGGTCATGCTTCCAAAAGCTGTTGAAACAGTAGCAAAAGCTTGTTGTTGGTTCAACTTTAATCCCTTGTAAATTCCCTGTGATATCAGCTGAGCGATCTGGATCCCGTTCCCTACCAATGAGGAACTTGATTGGTCCATTGGTTCCACGTAGTACAGAGGCTGCATAAGCTTGAGTGACACCAACCAAGGATAGGCCATCAACTTCGATTATCTGATCGTTAACTTGAATTCTGTATAAAAAGGTGTCAAAAATAAAATGAAATGAAAATTAGAAACTAACATAAAATAACAAAATGAAGATACAAGTTATTACAGAAACAATAAAAGTACCAAACAAAACATTAAAGTAGTTTTCGGTAAAGGTTAAAATTACTAAAAAGGGTTAGGTTGTTATGGTGTAAATTGCGTGCTTAAAGAATTTGATCAACATGCAGGGAAAAGGGCTGAATTTCTGTGGTAACGAATTAATAGTTTAAATTGAAAAAAAATCAAATTCTCACGAATAAATCAATTGAAATATTACATTTTTAATGCCTATGTAGGATTCAATCTAAATGGAATTTTTATCAAACAAACAAGTACTTTTTTCGGAATAAAGTGATGTTATTAATTCCAAAAGCTAATTGATCAGAGCCCATGAAAAAATTCTTATCTGTCAAACTAAACAAAATAAACTCCTTTAACTGGAAACAAATGAAGGTTGAATGGTTGAATTGCTAAACTCTTAACTATGATTTAATTTCTTTATTTTAAATGGTTGACCTGAGATAGTATCGCAAAAACTGTAGCATAATATCATCAACTAATCAAATTGACTTACAAAATTAAACTAAAGTTATATCAGCAGAGACATAATATCTGATCAACAATAGGTTACAATTTTATAATGGATTCTAGGCAAAACTAGTTCATATAATCGGATCATTGTTTAATATCACGCGTCCCTTTGTATCCGAGAACCATACGCACGAGATACATTTGTCCATGCATCCATGTATCGGTCCACACAAAAATTTAAGCATTTCTATAATAAAAAATTAGATTTATAAATAAGAACATTGAAAAATTTTGGTGTAATGACTTACAGTTTCACTTGAATCTAGACTAGTTCCAGGTTTACTAACACATTTTTTGTAACATTTCTCGGACATTTGCTGCAGAAATAAGATTGAAACAAATCAGATAATTGTATTGATTGTTGATGATAGGTTACTTGAATAAACAAATTTACAAAAGTGAATATACTCTCTTACCCTTATTAATTCCTTGAAATTTTCCATGGCAATTTCTTGCTTGAGCTTGTCCATAAGCTCTGTTTTTTGAAATTGAGTTAATTGTTCAGTCATCTTGATGAATTGGAAAGGATTAAATAATTAATAAACAAACCTAAAGGCAACAGTAAAAATCAAATTTGTGTTAAAAAAGTAAATCCATGTGATTCTCGTTTAATAGCTCCATCTTGAGTCTCATAATGAGACTCTCATTTAAAAAGCTTGCAAATGTTATGGCGGTAATCAATCCTTCACTTTGAGCTCAATCAACAGTTTAAATCGCAGAGATGCTATTAAAGGGTGTAACAAGTTATAGCTTGCAAATGAAGGAGGTAACAAGAAAATTTAACTTACCGTTATCTTTAAATTTGATGATATCGATGAAGATGCTAAGATGATAGTTCATGTCTATGGTCAAATTTAAAGATAACGTAAGTTAAATTTTCTTGTTATCTCCTGCATTTGCAAGCTATAACTTGTTACACCCTTTATTATATTATTATTACACCAAATATTATCAGTACATCAGTATCACAAAGCTATTACACCAAAAATTTTAACGATCACTCTGTAAGGCAAAGTTTGTTGGCAAAGGCATATTTTGCTATATATTTACTGATTACCAACATAACTCGATCGTATTATAAAATATGCATAAATGCTGGTAAGTTTACCTGTTTTTTATTTATTTTGTCTCAACTTATTATTTCCTTTTCTAATATTAATAACCTTTATTCATTTTCAGAGGCAATATCTAAAACAAGTAATCAAAGTATTCATAAGATAATTGAACAAATCGGCGATTGGCCCATGGCTACTAACAAACAATGGAATCCTGTGGATTTTGATTGGATGGAGGCAACCGTTAAGTTACGCTGGTTAGGAATCAGCAGTGATGAATTCATAAAAATTCAACCTGTTATCGACGTTTTCAATAACACAATCTATCGTATTGGGGTTAGTACGAGTCAAGATGTTTTGTCCTTATCCTCACTACATAAATGAAAATCTAATGATATTTTATATCTTTATATTTAGATAAACGAACCTAAATTAAGTTTAGACAGGAACCAACTGATTGGCAATAGCTCTGTGATCAAGCATTATGTAAATTTCATGAAAAAAACAGCCTTAACATACGGTGGTCAAAGGGAAATGATTGAGCATGATGTATATGAAGTACTTGAATTTGAACGAGAATTATCTTTGGTTTGTATTCCAATAGACACAATATCCGTTTAAACTAATACAATCATTCTTTAGCTAACAATGCCTGAAGAAGCTGTTCGTGAATCTATCATGTTTTATCGTTCCATGACTGTTGCTGATTTGAGTACATTGGCTCCCTCGGTAAGAAATTCAATCCAGTTTTGTCGTCTTCTGACCACTTTATTCCTATTCTCATCAGATTCCATGGGTTGAATTTTTGTCGGGACTTATTGGTAGAGAAATCAGTGACGATCAATTTTTATTGGTTAAAAATTTCAACGGTTTCATTACTCGGTTAGAGTTGCTGTTGAAGAAAATGGAAAAAGCTTAATAACAGCGTAATATTGGCAACAGTAAAAATCAAATTTGTGTTCAAAAAATGGCTTCATTTGACTCTCGTTTAATAGCTCCATCGTGAGTCTCATGTTACAAGCTTGCAAAGAGTTGTATATAGAATTATAGAGGATTATATAACTATTTAGTCTCTTTCACTCATGTTCACTGATTCCATTTATTATTTCAACCTTTCTTACAGATTGAAACAGAATAGACATTTTTAATGTTAAACATGGCTTCATCAGAAAGTGAAGAGTATATCATCAATTGTGGCACAGATGCGAACCCTAAATGGATAGAAATAGAAACAAAATGTATACCGTTTGATAAACCAGCTAATTATCCAAATGAATATTTCAAGATCAGCCTTCCTTCAACAAAACCTTCTGTATCTTTACCTTACAAAAATGTTCCTTTGGATACATTGCGACCTGTTGTGGTTAAATCAATTAAAGATGGAACCATCTCATCTGACTTAGCTGCTCTGTTTTTGTGGAAGTATGGAGAGCGTCTTAAAGCAACGTTAGACGAAAAGTGGGAATCTTTTGGAGTTACCATCTGTGAACCAGGAGAGGTGAAGTTGAGTTCAATTATTGATGTCCATTTTGGTGCCCAAGAAATTCTCAGTTCAATTGAGACAGACGGAATGGTGTCTTCAAATGATGACAATTGGATTGCTTCATTTTTAACGTCTATTTATCGCATCAATTGTGCTAAAAATGAAAACTATCGATTGGAATTAAGTAAAACAGCTTCTAACATTATGTTTAAAAATTTTGGAGAAGCCGAATATGCCATTTTAAACTTCTTGAATGTCACTTATCGACCATGGATATCTAATGATAATTACATCAAGATTATTGCTGCTTACGACATGTTTTTATTCAAAACAAACATCAAAAAGTACCAGTTCCTTCGATGGGGCACAATAAGTTCACGATATCGAGAGTGTTCTGTTCTTTCTACTTGGATTGATATCTCAAATGAATGTGGATTTACAAATTTCTTAGACTTGAGAAAATGGGTTTTTGTTGACAGTATCGAAATGGATCTCACTAGAGTTTTAAAAGATGGACAAGAAATTGATAAACCCGATTCTTATACGCCTTACCTACACGACCTAAGATTGTCCTGTCAATCGCCGTATTCTTGTTCCAACAACCCAGCTCTTTATGCGTTTCTATCTACCTTGGGAGTTTACATCGGACGAAAAGGATCAATGAACGTTAGAATGGTACGTGATGACTATGAAAGAGAAGCTACTTGCTTCAATGGTCTTGTTGTAGCTTATTTGCTTCAAGAAAAAAACTGTGAACCAAATAAGTCTACTGAGGATTCCTGTGTTCTGGTTGAGAGTTATATTCTTGGTACTAAAGAAGTACGATGTGAATTAGCCGACTATATTGAAGACAAAGGGACAGACATAAGTGGTCCGTTGGAAGAGTTCAAGAAATCAATTGACGTCACCATTGTCAATCCTCGACCAGATACAATTGGTCATTATTTAAAGCACTGTTTCAAGTGAAAAGTCCTGAGAAATGAGTCTGAGTCAGTCTTTTAAATATTTATCATTTTTACCAAAAAAAACTTCTACACTTGGATAGTTACTCGAGTTGATTCTTAAGAGCAGCAGAAAGTTTAAATGTCAGAGCACTGTCAAGATTCATGAAAAATAATTCTATTTTTTCTTTTTTTCAATTAATAAAATAATAATATCGTAATTTATCAAATCAATAATGGTTCAGTATGTTTAAAAGTCTTTTATTATTATTCCACCCAATTCAAGAGCTAAATAGTCAATTTCGATTTTCACAAAACTCTCCTTTGCTATAAAATAAGCTATTCTTACTAGAGTTATGTATTTTGTGTGTCATATAAGTCTTACTGTTATTCAAAAGTGACGCGACACGTTTCTCGCTTATTGTTATAAGCTTAAACAGCTTGCTTACAGCTTGCTTTGCTTTGCCGTAAAATTTATTTTCAAAAAATCACTTTTATTGAAGATGAAGACGATAAATGATTCAATGGTAAAAATTTCCAATTAATGTAGTTTATTCAAATAATGAACGAATCGTTTAGACAAGTAAAATGTTACAATGTATTTTATTTCATATAGAAATTGAAGTCTCATGAGATCCCTTCTGGATGTTCAGGATCAAGAAGTGGAAGAATGAGAGAAATAAAATTGTTTCGGAAAAAAAGTGAAAGGGTACAAATTGGTGTGAAATTTGTTCTTTATCAATTTGAATGAAATGGTCAATTATTATCAAGGTAAAAATCAATGTGTCTACAGCAATTGTAGTCCTTACAAATTAAATAGACCTGAATAAATTGATAGGTTATTTGTGACAATCAATTTGAGTTGAGCGGCAAAAAAGAAAACATTACAAAAAAATGAGTGATGATAAAAATTAGGTTCAGGGTAGTTTGTAAGATATTAGGAAAAATGGAATTCTGAGGATTATGAGGATTGAATGTGATTAGGACCATGTGACTTTCGTTTAGCTCCATCTTGAGTCTCATTTAAAAAGCTTGCAAAGAGTTCTGGTAATCAATCCTTAAATTTGCGCGCAATAAAACAGTTTAAATCCCATAGATGTGCAAAGCTATTACACTAAAAATTTTAACGATCACTCTGTAATCCAAAGGATTATATATTATATTTGCTAAACTTTAGTCTCTTTTACTCCGTTTTCCTAATTTCACTTACTATTTCAACGTTGTTTTACAGATCGAGACAGATTAGTATATTTTAAAGCTAAACATGGCTTCATCAGAAAGTATAAACCTTTTATTCAACCCAGATGTGAACCCTGAATGGAGGGAAATATTAAAAACATTTGCAACGGGTTTATCGCGTGGTAAACTAGCATGTAAATATCCAATTGAATATTTTGAAAAGATCAGCCTTCCTTCAGCAAAACCTCCTGTTTCTTTACCTTACAAAAATGTTCCTTTGGATACCTTGCGACCTGTTGTGGTTAAATCAATTAAAGATGGAACCATCTCATGTGACTTAGCTGCTCTGTTTTTGTGGAAGTATGGAGAGCGTCTTAAAGCAACGGTAAACGAAAAGTGGGAATCTTTTGGAGTTACCATCTGTGAACCAGGAGAGGTGAGGTTGAGTTCAATTATTGATGTCCATTTTGGTGCCCAAGAAATTCTCAGTTCAATTGAGACAGATGGAATGGTGTCTTCTAATGATGACAATTGGATTGCTTCATTTTTAACGTCTATTTATCGCATCAATTGTGCTAAAAATGAAAACTATCGATTGGAATTAAGTAAAACAGCTTCTAACATTATGGTTAAAAATTTTGGAAAAGGTTCATATGCCAGTTTAGACTTCTTGAATGTCACTTATCGACACTGGATAGGTAATACTAATTACATCAAGATTATTGCTGCTTACGACATGTTTTTATTCAAAACAAACATCAAAAAGTACCAGTTCCTTCGATGGGGCACAATAAGTTCCCGATATCGAGAGTGTTCTGTTCTTTCAACTTTGATTGATATCTCAAATGAATGTGGATTTACAAATTTGTCAGACTTGAGAAAATGGGTTTTTGTTGACAGTATCGAAAGAGATCTGAATAGAGTTTTAAAAGATGGACAAGAAATTGATAAACTCGATTCTTATACGCCTTACCTACACGACCTAAGATTGTCTAGTCAATCGCCGTATTCTTGTTCCTACAACCCAGTTCTTTATGAGTTTCTATCTACCATGGGAGTTTACATGGGACGAAAAGGATCAATGAACGTTAAAATGTTACGTGGTCCCTACCATGAAAGGAGATCTACTTGCTTCAACGGTCTTGTTGTTGCTTATCTGCTTCGAGAAAAAAACTGTGAACCAAATAAGTCTACTGAGAATTCCTTTGTTCTGATTAAGAGTCCTATTCTTGATACTAAAGAAGTACGACGTGAATTATCCGACTATATTTTTGACAAAGGGACAGGCATAAGCGGTCCATTAGAAGAGTTCAAGAAATCAATTGACGTCACCATTGTCAATCCTCGACCAGATACAATTGGTCATTATTTAAAGCACTGTTTGAAGTGAAAAATCCTGAGAAATTCAATCTTTTGAAATATTTATTATTTTTATCAAAAAAAACTTCAAAGTCACTAGAGTTCATACTAAAGAACACCTAAAACTTTGAATGTCAAAGCACTGTCAAGATTCATGAAAAATAATTCTATTTTCTTTTCTTTTTTTCAATTATTAAAACATTAATTATTTATCAAATGAATATCATTTTGTCTCAATTTATTATTTCCAATTCTAATATTCATAACCTTTATTCATTTTCAGAGGCAATATCTAAAACAAGTAATCAAAGTATTCATAAGATAATTGAACAAATTGGCGATTGGCCCATGGCTACTAATAAACCATGGAATCCTGTGAATTTTGATTGGATGGAGGCAACCGTTAAGTTACGCTGGTTAGGAATCAGTAGTGATGCATTCATAAAAATTCAACCTGTTATTGACGTTATATCTTTATATTTAACTAAACGAACCTAAATTAAGTTTAGACAGAAACCAGCTGATTGGCAATAGTTCTATGATCAAGCATTATATAGATTTCATGAAAAAAACAGCCTTAACATACGGTGGTCAAAGGGAAATGATTGAGCATGATGTATATGAAGTACTTGAATTTGAAAGAGAATTATCTTTGGTTTGTATTCCAATAGACACAATCATTCTTTAGCTAACAATGCCTGAAGAAGCTGTTCGCGAATCTATCATGTTTTATCGTTCCATGACTGTTGCTGATTTGAGTAAATTGGCTCCATCAGTAAGAAATTCAATCGAGTTTTGTCCTCTTCTGACCACTTTATTCCTATTCTTATCAGATTCCATGGGTTGAATTTCTGTCGGGACTTATTGGTAGAGAAATCAGTGATGATCAATTTTTATTGGTTAAAAATTTCAACGGTTTCATTACTCGGTTAGAGTTGCTGTTGAAGAAAACTGAAGAAAGGTAATAACGGCTAGGGATGGCAGGAAAAGATCGATTTTTGAGAGCTGCGAGCCTAGGAAAAATCGAGCTATTGAACTTACGATTTGATTGAGATCGACCTTTTAAAAATGCGAGTACTCGAGTATTCAATCCTTTACTTTGAGCGCAATTAAACAGTTTGAATCGCATAGATGTGCAAAGCTATTACACCAAAAATTTTAACGATCACTCTGTAAGGCAAAGGATATTATATTTCTTAAACTTTATACCGTGGTTAGAAAATTGTGGCTAGGGGAAAGCTTTTGATGCGTAGAAACCGAATTTATTTTGTTCGCATTTTTAATTACAAATCTGAGCATATTAAGCCGAACCCCTTTTCCCTTTATTTTCTAACCCTTGTTAGTCTCTTTTACTCATGTTTTACTGATTTCACTTATTATTTTAACGTTTTTTACAGATCGAGACAGATTAGTGTATTTTAAAGTTAAACATGGCTTCATCAGAAAGTATGCAGCTTTTTTACAATTGTGGCACTGCTTTGAACCCTGAATGGAAGGAAGTAACAATGGATAATATATCGTTTGATAAACCAGCTAAATATCCAAATGAATATTTCAAGATCAGCCTTCCTTCAACAAAACCTTCTGTATCTTTACCTTACAAAAATGTTCCTTTGGATACATTGCGGCCTGTTGTGGTGAAATCAATCAAAGATGGAACCATCTCATCTGACTTAGCTGCTCTGTTTTTGTGGAAGTATGGAGAGCGTCTTAAAGCAACGGTAAACGAAAAGTGGGAATCTTTTGGAGTTACCATCTGTGAACCAGGAGAGGTGAAGTTGAGTTCAATTATTGATGTCCATTTTGGTGACCAAGAAATTATCAGTTCAATTGAGACAGACGGAATGGTGTCTTCTAATGATGACAATTGGATTGCTTCATTTTTAACGTCTATTTATCGCATTCATTGTGCTAAAAATGAAAACTATCGATTGGAATTGAGTAAAACAGCTTCTAACATTATGGTTAAAAATTTTGGAAAAGGTTCATATGCCAGTTTAGACTTCTTGGATGTCAATTATTACTGGATAACTAAAGATAATTACATCAAGATTATTGCTGCTTACGACATGTTTTTATTCAAAACAAACATCAAAAAGTACCATTTCCTTCGATGGGGCACAATAAGTTCACGATATCGAGAGTGTTCTGTTCTTTCTACTTGGATTGATATCTCAAAAGAATGTGGATTTACAAATTTGTCAGACTTGAGAAAATGGGTTTTTGTTGACAGTATCGAAAGAGATCTGAATAGAGTTTTAAAAGATGGACAAGAAATTGATAAACCCGATTCTTATACGCCTTACCTACACGACCTAAGATTGTCTAGTCAATCGCCGTATTCTTGTTCCAACAACCCAGCTCTTTATGCATTTCTATCTACCATGGGAGTTTACATGGGACGAAAAGGATCAATGAACGTTAAAATGTTACGTGATGCCTTCTATCAAAAAGAATCGACTTGCTTCAACGGTCTTGTTGTAGCTTATTTGCTTCGAGAACAAAATTGTGAACCAAATAAGTCTACTGAGAATTCCTGTGTTATGATTAAGAGTTATACTCATGATAAAAAAGAAGTACGACGTGAATTAGCCGACTATTTTGCAGACAAAGGGACAGACATAAGCGGTCCATTAGAAGAGTTCAAAAAGTCAATTGACGCCACCATTGTCAATCCTCGACCAGATACGATTGGTCATTATTTAAAGCACTGTTTGGAATAGTGATTGTTTCAAAGGAAAACTCCTGAGAAATTCAATCTTTTGAAATATTTATCATTACCAAAAACAACTTCTACACTTAGATAAGTCACTAAATTTCATACTTCCGAACAGCTAAAAGTTTAAATGTCAGAGCACTGTCAATATTCATGCAAAAATGATTGTATTTTCTTCTCTTTTTTCAATTAATAAAACAATAATATCGTAATTTATCAAATTAATAATGACTCAGTATGTTTAAAAGGCTTTTGCAATGTTGAAAATTAATGTCATGATAATGGAAAT